ATTTTTATAATTTATTCAAACTTTTAGCATTACAAAATAAATATTTCAGTTTTGTCAAATATGCCATAAATGTAATCATTAATTTCGAATTGCTTCCGTGTAAGTGGCACATAAATTTGTCTTTTTCTCGAACCCATAACATTTACTTCATTGTATTTTACATCGTTCAGTACAAAATCAATAATTACAGTTTTCTCTGTTATTATGTTATGATTAAATGAGCTTTTGATATGGATCAATAATTTTAGTTGTACAGGCTTCATGGCACATGTACCTGAGGAGGTTCCACTGTTCAGACAGGCACATCGGGCTGACAGTATGTGGGACCGTCCGGTATGCAATAACGTTTGTTGCACTTTACGGCTACAATTAAAATACATTGCATTTTGTTGTATATTTCGGGATAATGTTATTATTTAAATTGGTCATTCTGTTGTGCAGGATGAGGCACGCACCGTGTTGACATGCCGTCGGGCAGATTCTGGATTGTGGGAGCATCTGTTGGACCATAGAGTCTTGCAGTATCTATTACGCGCGGGATTATATGGTGTGTATCGTATCGGGCACATTCGACTAGACCATGCACTCATCACTGCTCTCGTTGAGAGGTGGCGCACAGAGACTCATACATTCCATTTCCCGATCGGGGAGGCCACCGTCACGTTGCAGGATGTATCCGTCCTATATGGTCTTCCGATTGATGGCCGAACAGTTACTGGAGTTGACTCTTCTCTCGCGACGGGGCAGTGGATAGCCCTATGTGCTGAGCTATTGGGAGTAGCACCTACACCAGCAGATTTACAGCCAGGTAGAGTGAGGGTGAGGTGGCTGGCCGAGCACTTTGCTCATCTTCCAGATCATGCTCCAGATGAGTTGGTACAGCAGCATACCCGAGCATATATTATGTGGCTTATTGGGGGGTTACTTCTCCCTGATAAGTCACAGAACCTGGTCAAGCTGATGTACTTGCCATTGCTGAGAGACATTGAGGAGATTGGGCAGTACAGCTGGGGTAGCGCGGCTCTGGCATGGTTGTATAGGATGTTATGTCGAGCAGCTCAGGTGGGTACGAGGGAGATTAGAGGACCACTTGTGTTGCTACAGGTTAGTAACAATTTTATTACATGTAAATTCATATTTATAGCCATATATCAGTATTGTATTTGTGTTCAAACTATTGCAGATTTGGGCATGGGAGAGATTGATTCGCATTGCCCCGTCTAGGCGGCAACCGGTTGGTCCTGGTGAGCTTCCTATGGGTGAGGGGGACATGCAGTTGCCCACCGGACTGCGAGGTAGCCGGTGGAGGGTTGACATGGGCCACGAGGTCGTCTCGACCCACGTAGTGGTAGTTTATAGAGACCAGCTGGACCGGATGATCGAGGGCGAGGTATGAACTTTTTTGATTGTGTTTTAGTTGTCTTCTTCATTGTATATGTTTTGAGTTCACGAGCAAAATTTAAATTATTTGTCGTCATTGTAATTTATCTGGCAGCCTTACGCCGGGGTCCTCGATACGCTCCCCGACTACTGCCGACTGGGTCAGGAGATATGGATGGCGAGAGTGCCACTTATTTGTTTTGACGTGGTTGAGTGGCATCTCCCCCATCGTGTCCTCCGACAGTTTGGTCGGGTGCAGTCCGTGCCGGATCGGTTCGACACTGAATGGCAGTTGCACGTCACTGATAGGCGTGGCCGAGCTGGAACTGACTGGCGTCTGTTTTATATGCGATATATACAGTTATGGGATGCCCGCCGGGACAGTATTGTACAGGCTGACTACAGCGATGACGTGATCCCCTCTTCCGACCCTTACATGTTGTGGTATCGGCGACATACACACCTACTAGTCGGGAATCTGAGCCACGTGTCTGAGTCTGGATATCAGGGAGTTGGCCCTTATCTTGAGGCATTGGTGAGTATCATATTATGTGTCAGATAATTATTAAAATCATACTTGATTTACTTTCAGTGAACTGTAGCCTAATAATACGTCTAAATGTTTGTTCAGGTGGCTGGAGCTGGGAGGTCGTTTCACTTGGCTGAGGAAGCCCATTTGAGACGTGATGCACAGCATGCCTTGGAGGCCGTTGCAGAGATCCGGGAGTTATTGTACCAGGCATTCCAGCTTGCCCATCGGGGAGATCGTTTGCATTTCGGCCACTACGGTGTACACACTTCAGTAGCTGCTCCAGACACATCAGCGCCGTCCACGTCAGCGCCTTCCACTTCAGCGCCTGCCATATCAGCTCCTTCGACACTGCCTTCGACCCCACCACATACTACCCCATGCATATCTACAGATTCCCTCGACGTACTTCTTACGCAGCATACTGGCATACCTTATGTGCCTGACCCTGATTGGACACCGCCCCGATACATGCATGACGTTGTTACCCCACCCACCCAGTTACCACCACCAGACAGTTCGACCGCGACCATAAGTACACATGATGCAGTTCTCACTGACATCTCTCACATTGACGCTGAGGGCCATATTGAGGCCCCCCCAGAGCGCGCGGGAGAGGCCGAGGTTTTGGTCGTGGCGGACGTCGCGGCAGAGGTCGGGGTGCGGGCAGAGGCAGAGGTCGAGCTCTAGCTGCAGATCCTGATACAGTTGCACCAAATGATGGAGTTTCACAGCTCCAGCAGTATCTGATCTTCCGCCACAGCCAGGATCAGGGGCAACACATGCAGTAGAGGGGGAGTCACAGTCACAGGCTCCACAGGAGCCAGATATTCAGAGAGTCTACCGCAGGAGACCGAGGAGAGAGGTCCACGTGGGACTGGGGGCAGGTTAGGGCATTAGCGGGTGTGATGTGAAGTGTATAGTTTATTTTATTTACAGTTTTTGTATATCAAACTTGTACAGATGATGTAAATGTGTCATAGTTATTTCTTCGAAAAATATAATTTCACAATTTTTTATTCTTACTTGTTTTGATGATTTCCATAAAAATTAAAACGAAAACAGGAAAAAAATGATAAGAATTGATAGGATTTTATGATTAAATGAGATTGGAGGACCACTTGTGTTGCTACAGGTTTGTAAAAATTTTATACAACAAAAATCTGGGAAAAAAATGTGAACATTGCATAATGGATAGTTGTGGGGAGAGCTCATTTCTTGCTTTTGCCGACTAGAGAGAGAGAGTTAAGGGAGAGAGTTAGATTTCACCTCTTTTGGCTTGGTTTTGCTTGGAAATTGAAGAAATTGAA